ACATGCACCGAAGTCGTTATGGACGTTATTTGTTAGATTGTTTACGAGTATGTCGGAAGAAGGAACCTGCAGACGTTACTGTTGGACCCAGACGAGATAGTGAACCCGAGCCGAAGACGGTTGTTTTGTGTGCAGATAGCCGAAGGGATGCGCTATTGTCACAGTCGTCACATTTTGCATCTTGATCTGAAGACGTCGAACGTTCTGGTAACGGACACCGGCGACGTCTGCAAGCTGGCAGATTTCGGATGCAGTCGGACTATCCTCGACAGGTCAGGCGATACAGACCTGAAGGAAGCGAGCCCGACCGATTCGACGGCCGTCGGAACTTTGATCTATAAGGCACCGGAACTTTTGCAAGGTTTCACGCCGACTACGAAGGCGGATGTTTACTCGTTCGGCTATATCATATGGGAGTGTGTGTGCCGGTCGATCCCGTTCAGCAACATGGACTGCCACACGGTGGTGTTTCAGGTTGTGGCCAAGCACCTGCGCCCCTCGTTTCCTCCTACAGCCGTCGATGGCGACCGACAACTGTTCAGACTGGCCAATCAGTGCTGGAGTCACGAGCCGAAGAAAAGGCCGCACTTTCACGATGTTTGTTTTATGCTTTCTAAACTCTGACAGTTCCACAGTCGTCTCAGCTTTAACGGTTTGATATTTTCGGTCAGATTTTAAGGCGAACTTCTTATGTTGGAAGTTTTGTTTTATTTATTCTATAAGAAAACGTTTTAATCGTTCCTTTTATGTTCCAAAGATTAAAAGTTTTACGTTTAATTTTTAATTAAAGTTGTATAAAATTTTATCCCTGCATTTGATACCGACGGTGACCTTCCCGACGACAGTCAGATACGGGGGTCAAAATGGTAATAGCAAAAATCGCAATGGGCAGTCGAGCATGTGAGTTAGTCGTTAAAGCTCATTATAAGCATAAGAAAATATTATCTACTTCGATTAAGGCGTGAATCAAGCGAGCTTTAATAAGGTACGACGAAGGCCCTTCTCGATGCTGCAGCTGTTCATATTCGCCTAGCCGTCGCAGAGCCTACACAAAAGGATGGCTGAGACATGTGACGCCTGTCTGCTGGCACAGTGGCTAAGAGGTCAGCTTCAAATCCGGTGATTTACTTGAGTATGAACGAGTAAAGAATCAGACAGCTAGTTGCTGACTTGCAAACAACAAGAGAGACAACACGGTGTTCTGGTTTGGGCACGCCAAAGGGACGAGAGGGCAGACTATGCTGAGGGATGCAAACGCCTCATAGGGCTTCGATTCGTCTTGAGCCAATCGATAGTTGCTGCTTCTATGTGATAACTTTAATCTGTGATAGACGAAGCTGCTAAGCTGCAGTTGTCCAGATAATGGTGATAAACAACACGTGATAATCAGCGGAAGGTAAAACCTTTGCGGTTGTTGTGAAGTCAGGCTTGTCACCCAAGCCGATCATCCGCAACGACCAACTTCCATATTTTGTAGCCAGCAGAGTTGTGAAGATTTTTCACGGAAGAACCATTTACAACGCATTTCTATTTCCATAACGGTGTGTTTTACCATACTAGGCCGAGCATCGTTTTCTGAGGTCTCTTGACAAGTTTCTCTTGGAGGTGGACGTCAGCACCTCTCTCGTGCGTGACTCAATGGTACAATCGCCCTTTTAGCATACCTCACAGACAGTGCACTTGGAAGCCGTGGAGAGGAGCTTCATGAAGCATCAGAATGGCAGATGTTGCCACATTGCTCAGGAGCGCAATAAATGTATGGCTCAATAGACATGGCTGCCTACAGGCTGTTAATACTCATTGCCGTTCAACTGTAGTCGAGCCTGCCAGTTTTGACCATTGTCCGGCAGAACAGCGCTGTAAAGACGGTAGCATTTGAAAGCCTGATGGTCAAAATTATATATCTGACCATGAACTCCAACAGTGGAGCAGCTCCTGCTTCTGCATAACGGAATTTGGCCAAAATGCGACCTTTAATTACCAGTGACGATAGAATGGTCGAAGGACATCATCAAGGCTTCGTTCTGAAGAATTGCATGACAGTTGTGCAAACGGCGTGACATTTCTTGCCTATAACACTTGAATACCAAAATAATCGCCTCAGCTAAAGTTGAGAATAATTTATCGAATCGACCAGGCTTTTGCATGGAATGTCCACACACCTGTGACCGTCTCAGGTATCGATCTGGTATGGGTGTGGCAAAGGCATTACTTCCGCAAATTTCAACAGGCAGCCAATCTGGCCATGGCGTGGCTACTCCCTTATCGCCCAGAACTCCAACAGGTAACGACGGACGGACTGTGGTACAGCGGAGCCATTGCAATCGATAGCACGGCTTTGTCATTCAAGCTGAGACAAAGTTCGCCAGTTCGTAATTTATGAATTTATACGCAATAATTTATACGTACCACCATTTCACACATGGAGTATCGTTTCTACGAAACGGGGATCATAAAGAAAGCGACCAATGTCTGGAAACCGATTGGCAAACGAGTGCCGACGACTAGGAAGGAACCACATGGGTCTTGGATTAGATTGGCTGTTTGCAGACTCCGTAATGGTATGAATTTAGGCTTCAATATACAGCATGATATTGTGTTCGTGTCTTGTGCGTGAAACGCTGTCGAACTGTGTAAAGAATGCGTAGAGGAGCCAGACATCGATCACGTATTTACCTCTGAAGAATAATAAAAATTGTTTTCAGAATCGTTTTCCTTGCTATACTACCTTCATGGGACTTGAGAACCGTCTTACAATTACTAACGCATTCTATAATGTGTAGAACCCTTCAAAATATTAATATAGCTTAGTACTTTTTACATGCATTAAAACATAAATAGTACGTACATTATCTGAATCGAATGACGATTCCTTTATTACGGTGCCAGTTTCTTTCTAGCAGCTTGCTACCCATAGCGACAAATGTCTCCTACTGTTCAGAGGGGTGACAACTTCACGCTCCATTTCTTGATAGCACCCAGCTTTCTGCTTTCAGCGGGTAAGCAGAATGATGAACAGGTCTCTCCATTTTTGGGAGAGAAATGAAAACAGTGACAATCAGTCTTTCTGCTTTGTTTGAAACTACATATCCAATTCTTACGGCAGAGTTGTTCTGCAAAGATAAATAATTCCGGCAACCTCAATTGCCATTAACTCATTAGCCGATCGCTTCACCGCAGCTCATCAAGGCAACCGCAACAGCTGTCACCCCGCTTTCTGCGGTTATTGAATTTGTCTTCATTCGGAGCCAGGATTGATTGCCAGAAGGCTTTGAACTGCTTAGCTGACCATATTATTAAAAACAGTAGTAGCATTAATAAATGTGAAAGAAAACCATTTTACGTAAAAATTTCTTAATCATTTTCACCAACTTCTCAGCGAAGAGTACAACTTTTGGCAAGGCGGTCACAAGACCCGAACGATGTTCTGATAGCGAATTTCAGGGAATGGAGAAAATACTATGATATTCAATATTTTAATCACAAAGTTCGGGAAGTGGAACGATTTTAAAATCGCGCCTGTACGCATCTGGAGATCATAACTGCATCGGTGCTTAGAATGATATTGCCTCTACCCGACACGGGCAAGACCAGATATTCAGAGAAGTTCATAGAGGATTTGGAGGACAGTTACAACGTCACCCTGAAGCTATCAAGAGAAGGTAGTTTACGCTTTTGCAAAGTTTTCATCAACACCTCGTTGATTGCAAGTTTCTGGAGCTGCGACAGGACAATCAAATTTTTAGTCGTAGATGTCGTGTCTAC